GGAACAGAGTTTGAGCGAAACTGATTGTAGATATGAATGAAAGAATTTTAAATGTATGAATTTAGTAAAAAGACTCATCAGACTAAGCCATTAAATCATCAAGTGTCTTTAACTTTACAACGTAACTAAAGTGACAATTACAATTCGAGTTCTATGTACAATGTCTAATTCCGGCTCAATGGTCTAGTGGTTAAACGCTCGCGCGCAAGACTGAATTCTCTGGGTTCGAATCCCGCGAGCGAGATCACGGATGCGTACTGCTGAGGAGTCCCATAACAGGACGAAACAACCGTCCAGTGCTTCCAAGTTTTCAATGGTGGTCTAACATCAATTGGTTAATGATCTCAATTAATAATTTGAAATGTAATGAAAAATAAAGAATAACATTTAAAGGATTAATTTTACAGTAAAACAGAAATGAAAACGTGAATCATTTACTATTTTACTATTTTTTTGTTTTTAGTTTCAAATTTAAAAAAAAAAAATTTACATTTGCATTTGTAGTTGATTAACCTATTGTATATAAACTAATTGTAATTCATGGTAAAGAATAAATTGTATTTCTAGTTTGCTGTAAAATGTTTAGGTGAAAAACTTTTAAAGGAACTTTGTGTTAGTAATACATTAGTAACTTCATAGTGTAGGGATAGTTAATTAGTTTGTGTTGTTATTGGCATTTTTTACAAGAGAGCTGGATTTTTTAGTGGATGGTACTATGTCAAGCCGACATAGATTATTCTAGTTTCTGAGCAGGCCAGTTTATTGATTGTTCTCAAGCCTCATGTTGACTATGTTGATTATTTGTTTATCAATCCTGTTGTTATATGATAGAATTTGTGTTAATTGCTTACCCCATTCATTACGTGTTTGTAACTTATTTTTGGTCTGAATATAGATATTGAGTCAAGCTTGATCAAATGGAGTTGGTTCAATTACCTTCTCCGCTGAGCATCACTTCGTTTCTTTGATTGTCTGTTCGGATCAATGTGTGTATGAAATATACGTATCCATAATTCATTCTCGTATCTGGCTTATTTCATTTCATCATTCTCTAACGTAAATTAGTCGATAAAAATAAACGTGAGTTGGTGGTATGTATATCTCGACAACAATCATCATACGATTTAACTGAAGTCAAATATTGGGTCACAAAATTATACATCATTGTTTAAAATAACACTTTTGCATACCAGTTAAACCATCATCAACTGAATAACATGAATATTTGATTACATTCTATTCCGTAAATTTTCATTTAACTTTAGTCAAAAGGTTTTATATTTAATCTAATACATAAGATTTTTATTGCTATAAAGCAATAGAAAACAGTTACTGAATTTATAAATATTCCAACTTGATTCTATGAGAAAAAACAAACAAACAAACAAACAAAAACAAACCTCATTTCGGTTCATATTGCTAATCTATTTGAGTTATACTCAACTAATGATAACGATTTAAAAAAGGACACTTCTTAATAAATCTAACTTGATGAAATAAGCAACAACAAAAAATAGTCTTGATATGTTAACTGTTGAACGTTTATGGTATATTCAATTTATTAGTATCTAAAGATCATTAAATGTAGAAACATTAACTAAAAGCAAAATTTAAGTTTTATCAAAAAGTACCAGGAGCATATAAACCAGTTAGAAATGATGTGCTAATGTTATCAAGAAGAGTTAATTTATTATTATGATTATTATTAAATTACTTATTCCCTATTCATGTCATGTAAGATAAAATCATCCAGGAAATAATTACTTGAGTGAAAGCTTTGCAATAAAATAAAATTAAATGTTTGGTCGAAATGTACCATTAATTGAAGTCGTTTTTTTTTCTACTTTTGATAACTAACCACACATACTGTTGACTCCATCTAAACTAATCAAAATGTTATTCTATTGAAATGTAACGACAGAATTACTTCTTAAAATTGAAAACAAGATACACTGAAAGTTCATTTAGGGATGTCAAACGATTGTTTTAATGAAACAGATAACTGTCTATGTGAATTAATTATAGAAAATTCATTGACCTCACTACTGTGTATTCAAAAATAACACTTTGTAGATTGTTAAATAAATCACAAAATATAGTATATTAATTAGATGGATTCATCAATGAAAACACCTGATTATCATTGAAATATTACAGTTGTTGAACTACATCACATAACAATAAACAGATTTAAATATTTTCCATTGAGCATTTTATCAACTAAGTCCATAGAAATTCGCTAGCTAAGACCTTTAACTAAAATTCTCGTTTTTTGTTTAGGAGAGAAATGAAGGCTCCTTTTCAAAACCTGTTAACTCACTAGTTTTGATTACGATCCGGAGACTAATTTATCATTGTTTGACTGTAGCCGGAACATTTCCCTATTTGAAGACAATATTATCCATTTCAAGCAAATAAGTAAGATAAATCTGTTCAATGTAGCCGATGATAAAGTTTAGAGACTAGCAAAGAAATTAAATAATAAAATAAAAGCACTTTTAGTATTATCTCTTATCAGTTGAAATTATAAAGTCTTGCTAAAAGATTAGTTCTTCATTACCTTAATGTCAATCAAAAATAATATAAGAGAGTGATTTGTTCATTTCATTCATGTACACAATCTCACTACATTTCAATAAAATAGTGAACAAAACCAGTTAGGTTGGTTGATGGTTTTATGAAACTATCCGATTTCTAGGTTTCTATACATAGTGCCTATGCCTACCTACCATTCATGAAGGTGTACAACGCTAGACAGTATTATTACAGCACAATAGGAGACTAATCAGAATAATAAAAAAAATCAGTTTATGTGGCCATGGACTGTTTGTCTCAGGTTTATAGGTATATGTAGCCCAACAAAGCAGCGTTTTCAAATCAGTTAAAACAATAATACTATAATGAATAAATATAATTTTGGATACAAATTAAATTTTGTAAGATACCCTCTGTACAATAGTGAGTTCATGATTTAAAAAATATGCATCATACTTACCTCTAAAAGTTCTCTGCATCGTTTGGAATTATTCGCTTCAATTTCTTTACAATGTTCAATCATCTAAAATATATTTACAAAAATATTTATACATTTATTATATATTATATAATAAAACCAAAATACATTCATAATGGAAAGAAAATGTTTAACTAGTTACTTTGTTACCCTATAGTACTTTGATTCCATCAAACGAACTTTAATCACTATAGCGAATACTTCACATTTCACTTCAATAATTCTAATCGGTCTTTCATCCAATTCAAAAGGTATTATGCTTAATTCTTGAGAAAATTTACGCTCTTTAATTTATTATTAAAAGTTTCACAGATTGAAATCATGAGTCAGTTGAAGATAGACCACCATTGAAAACATGGAAGCACTGGACGGCCGTTTCGTCTTAGTATGGGACTTCTCAGTAGTGCGTATTCTAGTGAGAAGCCGTTACCAGTGGAGTTCAACCAGGTCTGTTGTAAGGTAACAACTCACTGAAGACAATGGTGTACGGTGGCTCAACTTCGTGGATTAGTTGAAGTTAGACATTAACACCGTTGGATGCCAGCTCAGTGGTCTAGTGGTTGAGTGCTCGCGCGCGAAGCCAGTAGGTCTTGGGTTCGAGCCCCGCGTGGTGCGGGATCGTGGATGCGCACTGCTGAGGAGTCCCATACTAGGACGAAACGGCCGTCCAGTGCTTCCAGGTTTTCAATGGTGGTCTAGCTTCAACTGACTCAAGAGTTCAATCTGTGAAAATTTCTAAAATCTCCACAAAACCCATTCTGATATTATTAAAAGGATCAAATTTTAACTTTAATTACAATTCTGTTTTCTATAATACTAAAACATGAATTATCCAATCCCATTAGTTGATCATCTCCGGACTGATAAGTTTTGCTCGTTGAACGCTATATTCGGTTCCTAAGCTATTCTCGCAACCCCCAAGCTAGACCTACACAGCGATCTGAACACGAGAGAAAAGGCGCAAAATATGCGAGAAGCACTTTAGTCCAAAGGTTCGTTTTAGTGCAGAAAATATTGGGTTTTTACAGTATTTTAGATGTCGTTGGGTTTCCCGAAGATTCTGGAATGCTACTAAACACAGTAGCAGTATAGTAATCAGCCAATTAGGAACTCTACATGTGATTTTTCATTTTCTTCATGATTCCGGCTAAAACTTCAAATGAACGTTGATTAGATGAAATGTTTCTTAGTGTTTTATGAGCATTTCTTATTTTTTTGTGAGATGTTTTATGGATCACCCCAACACAGACAATGATGAAACCACTGTATGATCTACCTTTAAGATTTTCAGAAGAGGTTTTATGGAGGTTTTAGAAATTTCAATAGTCGGAATCATGAATCAGTTGATGCTAGACTACTATGAAAAACCTGGAAGCACTGGACGACCGTTTCGTCCTAAAATGAGACTCCTCAGATGAACTGGTCGAAGTTAGAGAGTAACACCGTTGGATGCTGGCCGACTCAGTGGTCTAGTGGTTAAACGCTCACGCTCGAGACTCACAGGTCCTGGGTTCGAATCTCACCAGGCGGGGTCGTGGATGGGCACTGCTGAGAAGTCCCATACTGGAACGAAACGGCCGTCCAGTGCTTCCATGTTTTCCATGATGGTTTAGCTTCAATTGACTCATGATTTCAACTATTGAAATCACTTTAGAACTTTATAAATTTTTAAATATTTTAAAAACTTTTGAAACGATATGGAAGCTAAATTAAATATTAAATAGCTTTTTTCCTTTTTTTCATTATCAATACGTTGATTTTATTTATATTAAAAAAACTATTTGAAACTAAAAATACTGTACATACATTATGTCCATATAAAACGCTTACGATCTATCTATATCAGGATGAGAGTTTGTGGAAATGGTAGTAATTTTATACTTGAATTCATGAATTGTGGATTGGTTGAAGTTGGACATTAGCACTGTTGGATGCTGGCTCAATGATGTAAAGGTCAAGTGTTTGTGTGGCAGACAAAAGGTATTGCGTTCGAACCGCGCCTGTGGAATCGTGAATGCGCACTAATGAGTAGCCCCATACTGAAACGAAACAGCCGTCTATTGCTTCCAGGTTTTCCATAGTGGTTTAACTTAAATCGATCCAATTATATAAATATATAAGGTCATCTCCGATGGAAAGTGAAATTCAAAATCATGAATTCAAAAGAATTCACCTAATTTTCACGACGAAAACATGTACTATGTAATAAAGATTACCCTTCAGACTAATATTATATTTTATTACAATTACGCTACATTCTTGCCATGAAGTGAGTACTGATGATACTTCCCAGAATATTACAAAAGTCTATTAAATGAAACCAATTACCTTAGAGAGTTCAACATTATCATTACAGAAAATATTTTATACAAATAGTAATAAATCATTTCCAAAACTTACCATTCGACATAAATTGAGTGTTTGCTTTTTATATGGAGCACCATTCTGAAATAAAGTCAAATTAATTTAATTATTAATATGAAAAAACTTATAGAAAATTATGATTTTTAAGAGCTACTACTTTGGTTATTAAGAAATACTTTCAATAAACTCACCATACATAATTGTTTTTGTTTAAGTTAACAACTTCAACGTCAGTTCTGCGCAAATAAATCATTAAACCTGAGAGAGCTGAGAAGTTATGAGTTTTCAGTAATCAATGTATCATTTGATAAGTTAATCTAAATTCATAAATTCAAACTTGTATGCATCAGCTTCATTGATTTTTGTCATTGTTCAGTTGACTAACTAGTGACTACAATCTTTCAAGGTATAAATCCATATCAGTGTTTGGATAAGTTAACTCTACTGGCTATCATAAGTAAGAACTCACTAAACCATCAACGATTTCATCCAATTACTTTTCAATATTTTCAGTTTGGAGTTGTGGAGATTGTTGAATGTTATTGAAATCATGAAGCGATCAACTTTAGACCACTATTGAAAACCTAGAAGCATTAGACGGCCAGTACCCCCTAGTATATGATTCCTCAGTAGTGCACAACCACAATCACGCACGCGGGGTTCGAACCCAACATCTTTGGTCTCGCGCGATAACACTTGACCACTAGACCACTGGACCCACATCCAATGATATCAATGTCTAACTTCAATCAATCCACGATGTCGTCCGACCAGTGAAGTTCAACTGTGTTAGGTGTGAGGCAGTTACCAACCGAAGACAATGAAAGATGGGCATGTGACATCGTGGATTGGTTGAAGTAAGACATTAACACCGTTGAATACCGATTCAATGAACAGGGGTTTAGCGTTCGTGCACGAGACCGAAAGTGCCGGGTTTGAAGCCCGCATGCGGGATTGTGGATGAGCACTCCAGTATTCTCTACTGTTTAGTTCATTTACCTGTTCATCAATCAGTTAGTCACTAACGAATATATTACATCTCATAATAAAATATGTAAAATAAGAAATCATTTATATAACTAACGGGACGATCAGCATGGACTTCAGTGTTAAATTGAAGTTAATAATATGATTTCGAATGATAAATTTATGCAGATTCTCTTGATAATCAATCTAACTCCTTTTGTTATATTCGAATTCAGTTACAAAATCTTAAACAACCTTATTTATCATTAATTGTTATGCGGAATAATTAAACTTTACTTTAATATGACAGAACTGGATTTTACTTACTGTTACAATGAAATATTTCAGTAATTAAAAGGTGAATTTATTTATATTTTTATGATTATTATTTGAATTTGGCAACATATATGGAACTTAATAATATTAAGCTGTCTATGAGAATTGAATATGATGAGTTCACTTCTATCTAGAATAATGTTTGCTCAAATATTTTAAATATGTTATGATCGACATCAAACAAAGATTTTTTTTGACATGAAATTATGAAAACATCTCATTTCCATATCATAAAGTGTTAAATGAACAATAAAGTATAAAACAAAACAATAATTAACTTTTCAATTTACGTAAAATATTTCAATAGTTGATATCATGAGTCAATTGAAGCTAGACTACAATGGAAAACGTGGAAGCACTGGAATGCTGTTTCGTCCTATTGTGGGACTCCTCAGTAGTGCGCATCCACAAAACGGCCGTCCAGTGCTTCTAGGTATTTCATGTTGGTCTAGATCCAATTGACTCATGATCTCAACTATCGAAATCCACAAAATTCCTTTTGATGTTATGTAAAAGATATTTGGTTATCCATTTTTATTGACAAATATGATGATGATTGTTATTTTCATTTTCAATGAAATTCATTGTTTGCAGAAAAAACAAGATGCATAAAATGTTAAATAGTAATTCGTAATTTATACAAAGATCAATCGATAGAAACAAGAAACTATTAAATGACATTTACAGTATCCCATTTGATTTATTATTGAATAAGTAATTTTACAAGTTTTGAAATAAATAAAATTAAGATGATTAATCGATTAAAATGTAGTTAATAATGTAAGCTTTCTGAATAATATCGTGGATAAGGACTTTTGAGAAGTTTCATACTACGACGAAATATTCATCCAGTGATTTTAGATTTACAATAATGGTGTAGTTTAGATTGATTGATGAATTCAACTAATAATAAAGTATAGGTGATTACATATTGTTTAATCAATTGTAACTAACTTTATACTTTAATTGTGAGTAAACATGAAGACAACTCGTTCAATTGTTTAAACGAATCAAACGATAATAGAAAATAGTTTTTAAAATTTTTTACTTAGAAAATCATTCTCTAATTTCAAAATTGATGTGAAACACTATTAATATATAACAAGCTGAATACTTTGTTTGCTTTCTTATGGTCTGTTATCATGCCAACAGGACCTAACTCAAATCTTTTTCGTCCTAAGTTACTGTGTATAGCTTGATAGCTTGATTCAGTGAGAGATATATCATGACAGAGCACAATCATTAAGATATGAGAGCTTAATTTTATATTTTTAAAAAGAGTCAATTAAACGTTTAGTAAACATGCCGAAAACCTAAAAGAAATGATGAATTTCATTCAAGTATGATATAGCGAATGGCTGTTAATTTTGTAACATACATCTATTACATAAACGTCAAAAGAAATAAGTAAACCTCCTGAAGTTTATGTAGATTATAAAAAAGCACTAATTGTATCTACATATTAGTCTGATCATGTTTAATTATGATCATTTATATAATGTATACCTTCTTAGATATCAAATGTCAATTGAATAAAAGCAATATAACCATTCATTCAACTAGTATATAGCGTTTAATGGTCCATAATCAACAAACTGCAAGTTAATTCTATCTAGTCTTTTGAAAAGAATAACTTTATTTTCTTGACATTGAGAAGCTCATCAATAAACATTCTTGGTTGAGACTATAATTTATGGATGACCTTTGTGCGACGCTAAAAAGACCTTGAGAATGTCCACCTATATATTACACTTAAATGAAGATTATAAAATAGTGTGAGGAATTAGGATTAATATTTACACTTGATAGTTAGAGTATTCATCGCGAACTAACGTCAGCTATAATGCTAAAACTCTATGTAGACAAATGAATGATTTAATTTCATGCAAAAATTCAACACCTATTATCGTAAATCTGATTTGTTCATCCATAAATTATAATATTGCCAATATCATAAAATTATCCCAATAGTACTTCACTATATTCAAATCTAGAGCACTTAGTCATACAAATAAAGTTTAAAATAGATGAACAAAATAATTCTAACTATAAACTTTCATTTTCTAATTAGATGTTAGATTCCGTTGTATACTATTATTACCTTTGGTCTTTAATTTTAGAAATATTCTAAAATTACAACTTGTATTGTGAGATATTTGTTTTGCAAGAGAACAATAGCGTCATAAATAGTATTTTAACTATTTATTGTTCAAATACATATATATATATATATATATATATATATATATATATATATATATATATATAGTATCTTTAGAGCACAACCAGCGGAAAGTGTATAATGACGATTGATAATTGAGTACTAACTAATATCATATTTTTTAAGCCGATCTTACTAATATAATTTCGTAGATTCTATTAAAAGAAATGACAAAGCATATCATTCATTATTTGTTGATTTCATCTGTAACCAAAGAAATTCAATGAACTCTCCGTGATAGTTAGCATTTTTAAAAACAGAATATGAGTGTGGTTACGAGGAAATATTGATTTACCTATAACTTGGAACTATACATCATCCACTAGTACAATCAAATATGCTACCACTAAGTTATTTCAACCATAAATAAATATTTGTAGGACTAAAATTCTTATAATTTGAATTCATACTATAAAGACTGTAAAGTATACAGTAATAAAAACAGGAATAAATAAAGTTTACAAAAAAATATAAAGTGAAACATTAATAATAAAAAAAACCCAGTTAATTATTAAATATTGTAAATTAGAGATGAAATCAATCATTATTAATTACCATCAGTTACATGTTTTTCTAAATTTAACACTAAATTCTTACATGTTTTACACCATAATTGACAATAATCAAATACCAATATCAACAGCATTTTTGTTATTCTTAGCTAATTTTGTATCTTCTTCGGATACACCACTTTCTATGAAAATATAAATGAAATTTTTTTTTCAAAAAATAAAAAAAAGTAGATCGAAATTTATGACAATTATTATTATTATACTTTTTGATTGAGATCATGAACCAATTGTTAGACACTAACATCATTGAATCCCAGCTCAGTCGTCCAGTAGGTTAAGCGTTCACACGTGACACCGATAGGTACTGGTTTCGAGTCCCGTGTGTAGGATCATGGATGAACATTGTTGAGGAGTTCCACAATAGGACGAAACGGCCATCCAGTGCATCCAGGTTTCCAACGGTGGTCTAACATCAATCGGTCCATGATCTCAATCAAAAATCTAATGGCCTTTACAATCCCTGTACTAATATTATTATTATGTTGAATAATATGCATTGGTAAAATAGTTTGGCAAAGCTCGTGACTAAAACAAAAAATATCGGTTTATTTTTCCTTAAAAAATTGAAACAAATGGGAAAAACAATAAGGCTTCATTAACCTGCAATAGTATGTATCCTTAAGAATAGAAAAAATGATAAATTTCATGTATTTAGATATATTTATTTTATCAAGTATCCTGCAAAATAAACGTATACAAGACTAAAGATCTTTTTATTAAAAATGCGATCATTATATTACTTTTTGCATATTATCTTATTAGAATAAAGTGAATTTCCCATAATGAAATTCTCATGGTCACTTGTACATTATTCCCTGTTAACTTTATATAAATATCCAACTGAAAAAAATACTCAAACGAATGCAATTTTACAGTCTTATGTTCGAGTCCCCCATGAGGAACTGTAGATTCACACTGTTGAGTAGTCCTATACAAAGACAAAACGGCTGTTCAGTAATTTCAGATTTCCAATGGTGATCAAGCTCACATCGATTTATGAATTCAACTGTGAAATTATTATTTTACCCTATTGGCTTTCTCTTTAGACATTTGTTTTTTAATCAACAAAAGAAATGTTTGCTTAACAAATTAATGATTCAAATGAAATGAATTAGTAAGAACAAAAACATTTATTATTGTATGAAAAAAGAAAAGTAAAGAAATAATCATTTACAATAAAAGAAAAAGAAACACTAGGTAAACTGAAACATTGAATAAACCATTCATTGTATTTTCTTTTTCTTTTCATCTTATGTACTATAAGTAGAGAAACATTTTACAATATGAAAGGTAATCCTTGTTATATATATATATATATATATATATATATATATATATATATATATATATATATTGTTGATACATTGAATAAATGTCAAATATGAAAGGTGCACAATGAAGTGCTACCAATAACCTTGACCTAGAAACACATTAGAGTATTTTTCTATTGTTTATAATACTACAACACACTTTTAGTTGTAAACATTTTCATCTGTTTATGCATATTAGTGGATGCACTGTTGATTGGATCATTCGTTTTTCCGCTTTTTTTTTTATAGGAAACTATAGTTTACACGATGAAATATTTGAAGAAATTTTGTTAAAAATTTTTCAACATATAAGAAACATTCATATAGTAAATTTCAAAAGCTTAACGCTTAAATATGTTTTAAAGCATGTTGTAAAATGTATACTGTTTTAATAATTCTTTTATTAAAAATAACACTCATATAAATAATGATTAGTTATTGACCGATGATCTCAACTATTGAAATTACTACAATCTCCACAAAACCCAATTCTGATATTAATCAACACATGCTCACTAGTGACTGACTTCTAGAGGTTTTTCCTGGAGTTCTAGTGAGAAGCAGTGACCAGTGGAGTTCAACCGGGTGTGTTGTGAGATAGTAACCGACTGAAGACAATGGTGGATGTATCGCTCAATTTCGTGGATTGGTTGAAGTTAGACAGTAACACCGTTGGATGCCGGCCAGCTCAGCAGTCTAGTGGCGCACGAGACTGACAGGTTCTGTGTTCGAATCCTGCAAGGCAGGATCGTGGATGCACACTGCTGAGTAGTTCCACAATAGGACGTAACAACCATCCAATGCTTCCAGGTTTTGCATGATGGTTTAGCTTCAATTGACTCATGATCTCATCTATTGAAATTACTACAATCTTCACAGAAACATTTCTGATACATTAATTTACGTTGATTAGAATAACATTAGAATAACAGAAGAGTTTTGTTTTTTAAACTCATAATCTAAGTATATAATGAGTATGAATGTAGTTTTCGTTTGTGTACAATTTCAATTATGTAATACAGTGATACAAATATTCTATAAATTATAAATTGTATTAATATTGTACTTTGTAAGTTTTGTTTCAATACATAATTAGATAAGTTATTTATAATTTTATTTTGAACAGTTATAAAATTGGATAGAGTGAAGACAATAAGAGAATTTATGTTAAGTGTTTGTGAATTACTTTGAAATACAGTCGTATTCATAATGCACAGATAAAATTTATCACAATATTCAAAGGAATTTGAATCTTGATGAGAATCTTGATTCGATCTCAACTTTTATAAATGCTGGAAATCATACAGATTCTATCGAACAACCTTGATCTTTACATTTAAAAAAAATACCAAAATACAATTGATTTTTCTTTGTTCAGAGAAAATTTAATGGAACCTTTTACAAAGTTCATCACTATTTGTTTTTAATTTATGTTCAAGTCATATCTCTTCTTTTCTATTTACATATTAAAACTGATCACTGACACACTGTGTATTGCATAAACCTTATATGTTTATTATTTCATGTTAATTTTCTGAAGTGTTGTTAAACCTTCTCTGTCGAAATATTAATTATCATTATTCTTAAATAATCATTACATCAGTTATCTTGATATCGTGAATCGATCAAAGAACACAATGTTTCGGGAATCGGAAGTAGATATGAAAAGGATAAATAGCAGTTACAAACAACTGGAAAGAATCGCCCAGAACAGACTTGCATGGAGAAACCTGATGGTTGACCTATACTCCCCTATGAGAAGTAACATGCGAAAATGAAATAAAATTAAGTTGTTGTTTTTATTCTAACAAGAATATTATGGAATCAAACGATATTGAGATTATACAGCTCAGCTAACTAATTTTAGTAATATAAATGTAACCGAAATATTAAGGAGATATATGATCGAGTTACTTTGTCAAATTATTGTGAGCTTACGTACATTAAAACTAAATACTTTTTTAAACTTAATATTATAATATCAAAGAAGATAATGCAAATAAATGATCAAAAACACAAATCAATATTTTTTTTATTCAGATCATGAACCGATTGATGTTAGACCACCTTTGGAAACCTGAAAGCAATGGACGGCCATTTCGTGTCGGGTAGAGACAGGTATCTACCTCAGTACAATGGAAGATGGACGCGAAATTTCGTGGATTAATTGACTTTAGACACTAACATTATTGAATCCCAGCTCAGTGGTCCAGTACGTTAAGCGTTCGCACGCGAGACCGATAGGTAATGGGTTCGAATCACGCGAGTGGGATCATAGATGCACACTGTTGAAGAGTTCCATAATAGGACGAAACGGCCATCCAGTGCATCCAGGTTTCCAACGGTGGTCTGATGTCAATCGGTTCATGATCTCAATCAAAAACTTAATAATCTACACAACCCCTTTACTGATATAAATCAATACATATTGACTTTTCTACTTCTAGTTCCTATTTCTAATAAATTTGATATAAGACGAAAATATGACGTGAAAAAAACAAAATAATAGAAATCATGTGTTCATAGATAAGAATTTTTTCTTTATTTTTTTCTTAGGATTCTTCAGTTGTTGTTGTTGTTGTTGTTTGTTTGTTTGTTTTTTTCAAATACACATGGTTAATTAATTAGTTCCCCTATTTCGATCACTATTTTTTTTTTTAATGTTTATATTAAGTATTTGTATGGTGTGTCAGTTGTCCAGTAAAAACACAATTATTGTAATAATTACTAACTGAAAAAAATAGTGAAATATCTGTATCATTACAAAATACTAAAATAAGAATAGCCCTAAACGAATACATTTGGCTAACTGAATTAACTTATCGATCATATGAGAGATAAATGAATGAATACAATAGTAATAATAAAAACTACTTATTACTATTATTATCAACAGTGTTGAAATAATTAAATTTTAACAAAATTAAATGTAAAATAGGGTTAAAAGATTTAAAAACAAACAAATGAAAATAACAATGATTGACAACTATTCATATAGAATAGTGAACACTTAAAAATGTAATATAATTAAGCATAATTATTGAGATTGAAAACTGATCAATGTAAAATCACCGTTGAAAAACTTAAAAGCACTGGACTTCTGTTTCGTCTTAGCATGGAATTCCCCAGAAGTGTACATTGATGACTATTAGCTGATTGGTTGACACGCGAGAGAGAGAGAGAGGGTGAAAACGAATCAACTTGAACACTACTCAATTTATTCCTGATTGCCGATTCTGAGTAATTTAAGAGAATTTATGCATAAATAGATGACTAACATGACCACAATGCACAAACAGTTAGAAGAATATAATTATGTACAAACTAGGCATTAGTGTAGAAAAATAGGTTACAAAAGGTTACGCTTAAATCACAATAGCTTTGGAACAGGAAAGGGTGTGATAGTGTACCATACACCAAACTCAAGCTTATAGTTTAATGAATGACTTAGTGACAAAACTAAATGTTAGTAAATTACAGGCTTTGAATGCAGTGAAATAAAGTCATCAAAAATAGCTTCCGTTGTTCATCACGGCTTCTTTATTACTCTGTTCACATCACATTCTAAACACATTAGTTCCAAAATACGACAATGAAAGCCTCGTCAAACTTTCGATCTACCTTTCCATTTTTGGATTACCTACACTAAAAAATTATGTGCACGAATTGTCCTAACAGATTGTATTTAAATATTGCATTCGACATAATCTATAATTAAATGTTTCATAACGGAAATCGCTTATCGGTTAATTACGATTAAAAAAAGGTTTAGGAAGAGCAATGTATAATTCATCTCAGTTATCAAACTGTCGATCTTCTCAAATACTTACTGGCACAAAGTAAAAAGAAGGAAAATCTAATGAGATGTTGACATAATGAAATATAGGCACGAAAATATTTATAAAGTCCTGGGTTCGCTCCCTTGAAGTATCATCAGTGTCGATTGCTAGAGAATTCTGTACTAATTGTAAAGTTGCCCAAGCGCTGCGTAAATGTCAAGTGTACCTTCAATCTAGGTTAACCAGTGATGGATACCATATGCTAATCAAACAAACTACTGGAAAATATATACATCTAAAAATTATGCTGCAAAAATTACATCAAACATACTGTAGATTTACCTCTAGAGTTTAAAACTTTAAAGATAATATTGGATGGTCCTTTATTCGTGTATCAATAAATTTATTCGACAAATCATTTTAAATATAAATTTGCTACTAAATATTATCACTAGATATTATCATCTGACCTTTTCAGTAAATCATATACATATTTAAACCATACGATCATTACTTTGTAGTCTCAGTCGAAATGCACTGTACGAATCCGTCGACAATTAATAACATGGAACTAAATCACTAGGAATAGTTGGAACAGTCATTCACTAATAATATGAATATGTCAATTACGGAATATTAATAATTTTGCTTCACATCGATTATATCACAATCTATTAACACAATGTATAGCACTAAAATATTTGATTTACCTAGTTCAATTTCAATTTCTTTTCCGAGTGTATAAGTTGATTACCAGACGTAGATGTGTTCGACGTAGTAGTAGTAGTAGTAGTAATGGTTGTAGTAACAGAAGTGGAGGTAATACCAGTTGCATTAGTTTGATCAGCTATCGAAGGTGAAGAATCATGTGTGTTGGGTGTAATGAACGTTGAGGTTGATGATGTCGTTGATGATAACAGATAAGATGATGATGAAGATGATGAACGAGGTTGTTGTGAACCAGAATAACCCTGAATTTTCCCCAATGATAAAATATTACAAAATAAGATGATTTACGGTGAATTACTAAAAATTAACTATATTGGCAAATATTCCATGTCATGCACTACTGACAATTTATCGTTCAAATTATTTGTGAGTGCCACAATGAACTTCAGGAGTTATGCAAATAAATGATCAAACTGATAACAATTGGAATATAAGCAATGTGAGATAAGAGAATAATGCAAAAATAAGTAGCTATGCAAAACTAGACAAATGAGGTTGTAGGATGTTAAATTTAGAATAATGCAATACTCAATGCAAAAGGATCGGTCTATACTGAAGTTGTTGATCAAGTTTTAACACGCAGAAAGTTTTTAACGAAAGATTACAATTGCCTCATAGGCACCAACAAATCAGTGGTCGAGTGAACTGAGTTGTCTTCACTTACTACAGTCTACTCTCACATCAATTCTGATAGGATGTCTGAGCAGACGTTGACTAGGCAAGCGTTACGCAATCTTTAAAAAGTGTCCGAATCTTGTCAACTAATTAAACATTTGTATCAAGTTCTACTGACTCGGGGTCAGCATTTCATTTCCGAAATTATATGGCATAATTATGTTTTATTCTAATTTACAGTAAACTTTACGTGAAATGTAACCTCATCAAGCCAAGGTGTGAGTTACATATTACGATACAAATGCTCCGGTCTTGAAAGCGAAATTCTAGCGAAAATTTAAATTGTTTCGAGATTATAACGGCTGTTTTTACTTTTCCAGTTATGACATACAAACAAAGATTTCATCTTTGCTCATAAGCAGTCTTCTCAAATAGTTTGCAACATGTATAAGAATGCAGAACCATTGATACTTTGAATTGGATTTTCCTGTAACGATCAGTAACAGAATGTATTTCAAATAAGCGAGTCCGTTGTGGTTAATTTTCAACTGCTCAAGGCTCTCATACTCACATCTACTATCCAGCCTTCATACAATAATAACTGCCAGTCGTTCGTACTCGATACTGCTTTAAGGAATCATGAGAGGAGGTATATAACTTGGTTTTGGTATTATTCACCATGATTTATGGTAGATAATCGTAAAAACATCTCCCTGTAGTAAAGTATTTCTTTCATTTCCTAGGAATTTCTTCAGGCATTCCAATAAGTAGCTTGTCCCATCAGGTAAATAATTATGCCTAGAATTTTACTTAATGAATATTATCCTAATACAAGACCTATTATTCAAAGGACACTGTTACACAAAGAAATGCAAAATAATTAATCTACAAAAGACAAACGACTTTTATCAACATCTTACCAAAGTAATATGGACATATACATACATATGTTGCCTAGCCTCACCAAAAGACGATAAATAGGCCAGCATAACGAAAAACTCGAGGCCTTATGACTTATACACAGACGCTGATCAAATTTGTATCAAAAACCATATCTGGCAATATTTTATTTCTTCAGACAACTCAATCCACCAGAATCTGAATGCACTATTTTATCTTTAAAGTATCATACAGATGGTGGTAATACGAGTTATCTATACTCATCTTTTGAAAACTCACATGATTCTTATTACTTAATACCACCCGTAAATCAAGACACGACTTCTAAAAATATACCAAATTACATAGTAAATGAACCTTTTTAGTGATAATCGCTTACAATTAAGGAGCACAGTAGAGTATTTTTGGCAATGTGTACCTATATTTAAACTTAAAACAACCGGTTGAGTGTTTACTTGCATTACATGTGAAGTGTTTTAGCTAGTTTGAATTGTTTATCTAAACTGTATATGTGGTTGAAACTGTCTGTTACGTAATTCGGTCTGAAGAAAATTCATAAAACGTCCAAGACATCAACTTCAATAGGAAGCGCTATGTGAGACCTAGAACAACTTAACAAAACATGAAGGTGCTGTGATTTAAAAATTCTCTGCATGAAGAATACAGCGCAAGCAAGTATCATCAAAATGTGACCTCGTTCGCTTGTGTAGTCGTCTAAGCCATATCAGAAGGAAGTTAGCAAGATGAGTAATATAAGACGCCGGATAATATAATAATAATGGTGGGATGAACTAAAAGTCAAGAATATGATTCGAAAACGGGGAGTAAAAAAGTAGACATAAAGAAATTATGACACGAAAGATAGAGATTACACTCATCTGCCTCCCTTTGAGTGATTTCAAGCCTTTTAACCTAAAGTCTCTGACCATTGGCTATAGTAGTCAATCACATCCTAACCAAGTAGTCAGTATCTACCAACATGGCTCAGATCAACGGTCGACGACTTTATGGACTGACTCCATGTCTTGATTTGTTTCCCCTGGCTTTTTTAACCTGTCCCTACAAAAATAAACGTCGTATGTCTAGGTAGACAGTTTGTAAGCAAAATTGGTACATATCTTAACCACCTAAGTCGGCGAACACTAATCATCTCACCAACCGATTTTCCATTGTTGGTTAGGGCTCCATATATAACCTCATCACTACTCGTTTAATGACACTCGTGACCAAACCCTAGCGAATTTTGAATGTTCTTTATTTATAAAGGCCAATTTTTTACGTCAATAAAGAACAAGGGGGCTGATGAGAGGTAAAATCGTTCTTTAGTTGGCAGATGATTGTCTCGCCTTCAACGAAAGTGGCACTAGCTACCAAAAATTAAACGAAATTTCTGAACCAGAGGAGAGACTTTGTCAGGCACCAACTCTTCAAGGTTGACGAAAATTTTGCGATAGTTTGAACGAACGAGATGTGAACAAGCCCTCTAAATACTATAAACAAAAGATATAGTCTGAAGTAACGATGAGAGTATAGAAACTGGATAATGATCTCAACGTTATCGAAATTCGTTGAAAACCTAGTGTCTCGCTGACGGTAATTTATAGGACGTTTCCTTGATACATTCAAACTTTACTTATATCCAGTTAAAACTTCTAATTGTTTGTAGATAATTAAACAGGTATTTAACTTCATTTAGCCGACTAAAACAATATGAACATTCATACGAAACTTAGAACGAAAGTAATTGAAGTCGAAAAACCACATGAGGAGCACATTAGCTGATAAGTTAGGAAGGTTTAGATCTGCTTTGAACCAACACAAGAGTATTTAGACACAACGAAAAAAATTCGACACTATGTCCTTCAAAACAACACGTCGAGGTTTATGGTCTTCAGTGGTCTTCCGTCTTCACTGGTAAGAATCAGAGGTCAGTCGACCAATATTGTTTCTTTCAACGTATAGCACTGTAAAGATCTGGTCCCTCTGTGGATGAGTCAACCTAATATGTTGATATTAAGCACTCCGGCTTGTGGTGGTGGCCCGTAGTTTTGACTCCAAGATCGTATAAATGTTTGCTATCGCTTATTCTCATTTATCATCGTAGACTTGAATCGCGTTAGTCCATAACGGAATTAAATAAGTCGAATAACGAGAATTGATTTGTGAATACATATATTTTGTACATGAAGCGAATGAAGCACAGCAAAGCAAAAATCACACGTATGGAAGATGGCTGAGAAGCCAACTCCATTTTAATTAAGCGTTACTCAGTATTTATAGGCAGACAAAATAAACTACAGACATGTGATGAATCATGGGATATGAAGTGTACACACATATACGCTCATATGAAAACAGTCAAGGCTTATAAGCGAATAATTAACAAGGTCAAAATTTGGCTCAAGTAAAATGAATAAAATAGGATGTCCGGAAGTTAGAATAAGGTATATGGGCTTGCCATAATAACTGACACTACAGGCTGATAATTCGAGCAACTCTCCACTCGATGCGAGAAATAGAACTCCATCTGTCAAGTTTGTTGCAATACGTAGTAGTTACAAAATTCCGCAGCCGCACAACGGTAAGCGGCTGAACTGTCTTTGTTCGCCCGTCACCAATAAACGAGACTTTAGTCACAACCTTATTTTCGTTTCAGTATTGGAGTGCCAATGTTTACATCATGTAAGGGTGAGTAAAACATTCTCAACTGACTACAAACGATAGTCAAATGCATTCAATTAAAGCGTTTCCCATAAACCACAAGTTGTTATCAAAACAGTTTGCTCAAAGATTTAATTCCTCTTGTACAACTTATATAGATTCACTAGAGACGTTTTGAACATTTGGCAAATGACACTTAACTATAAATCCTGCGGACTTTACAGTTTTTTTGTGACTAAATCGGGTGCTATTTAGACTGATAAATGAAAGATATAAGCATTTACGAATACAAAAAACTTGTGTACATTGTAACCTGTTTAACCTTTTTAAAAAACAATAAAGTAATATTAAAAATGAAAGATAGGTTTCGTTTGACATGCCAAGTTGTTTGACACGTTTTCCATATCTTTAACGTAAACTTACAGCATCAAACATCCCACTTAACTCAATTACCATATTCTTCTTGATTTATAGATAGCGCCATATTAGTTAACAATACGTCCTGAAAGCACAACCCACAGTAAAGGATTCAAACAACACAAAAAGACAAAGTCTTTAATTTCGTGAAAGCGACATTTTTTTTAAATTTTCCTGATTGTGTGATATGTTGTTGTACTTTTATTTAGTAATCCGTATTCTTATGTCATTTGTCTAACATTTCAATTCAACATTTCAATTTCAGTTTGGAAAGAACGAGAGGCTTGATGGCCTGTGTAAGTCTTAGCAATGGTGGTCTCTCAGTCGATCCAACTTTCTTTTGAAAGAATCGACGGATGGAGCCTCAACCACGTGTTAAGGTAATGAATTCCACTCGTTGATGATTCGATGGGAAAGTCGATAGTCAGCTGACAAGTAATTTGTTTTGGGCTTGTGAACTTTTTTGGAGTGTCATCATAACTTCTCTGTTCTGGAAGACAAGAAAAATGAGGGCATATTAGGTGAAAATTTATCACTAAACAATCTGAAAACTGTAATCAAGCCGCCTCGGAAAAAGGTTTAGCTTAGCCAGTCGAGCATCATACGGAAGCTTTGCTAGTCCGGGAATCTGCTTAGTTGCTGTTCCCTGAAACTTGTCCGGAAGCTCACTGTCCTTTTTTAAGCAGGGGCTAGCCGCTTGTATGCAGTACTCAAGTTTAGGACGTACGAACACTGTATTCAAAGTCGAAAACGTTTTAGCGTCGACATGAACAAAAGCCCTACGTATTGACCATAAAGTTCCAAAAGCTTTGACGGATATTGCATGGCAGTGCGCAGTAATACTTAAGTCTTGACTAACGATAACTCCTAAGTCATTATATGCCTGGACGACAGGTAGCTCAGTGTTATCCATCGTGTATGTATCTGTACCTTGATGACCGATATGCATCACAACACACTTGGAAATATTTATCGACAACTGCCAGGTTTGAGACCATTCAGATAACTTCTTCAGGTCATTATGAAGTTCTAGGCTATCACTCTTACATCGTATCTTTCTCCATCTCTTGACATCGTCAGCATATAGCAAGACCGATGATGATAGGAGACAAGGAAGGTCATTTTCATACAAGAGGAATTGCACTGGCCCCAAAACTGTACCCTGGGGCACTCCACTAAGCACAGTTTCCCAGCTAGATAACTTTGAGTTCATCCCTACTCTTTGTTCACGCCCAACTAAGAAGTCTTTTATCCACATCAATAAATTGCCTCCAATCCCGACATTTCTTAATTTGTATAACAGCCGGTTGTGCGGAACTTTGTCAAAAGCTTTACTGAAATCGATGAAGGCGACGTCTACAGGTAGCTTTTAGTCCTTAAGAGCGCACCAGCTTTCACGAGCCACTAATAAGTTAGTTAGGCAAGAATAATCTATTCTGAAGCCGTGCTGCTTCTCCGAGAGGATCCGGTTTTTATCGAGATACTTAAACAGCTTCTTCCGAATAATCTTTTCTAAGATTTTAACAACCACACTAGTTAGGCTAACGGGGCGGTAGTTCTCAGTTTTGTGTTTCGTACCTATTTTGAAGACAAAACTTACTATGGCGTTTTTCCAGTCTTTTGGTAAATGACCCTGCGTAACGGATAAGTTAAAGCATGTACTTAAAGGGCTTGCAACGAAGTTAGATAATTCCTTCAGTAGCCTAGAATACAATCCATCGGGTCCCGTGGATTGACCCATGTTAAGCCTATTTAGCAGACCTAAGACATGGAGTTCTTTAATGGTCACGCTATCCAGTGTATGTATGAGGGGATTTCTATGAGCTGACGGGAAGGGAGCTTCGACGGTATATACTTTGCTAATGTAGCTTGTGAACACTTGAGCCTTTCCAAGTATTGAGACTACTTAACAGGATCTCATTTACCTCACAGCTTGGACTGCGATAGACAAAACCAATCAGCAACTCTTTTGCCTTATATTTCAAGCGGCAACTAACTAATTCACACGTCCCACTCTCATGGAATTCACTGTCGATAATGGTGAGTGGGATAGCATTCTTAATGAACAGAGCTACTCACCCTCCTTTACGCTTTTGTATTCTGTCAGCACTTACTAACGTAAAACCATCGAAATGAAGTTCCATACTATCTATAGACTGTGTCAGCCAGGTTTGTGTGACTGCGATTATGTCTGGCTTTGTAGAGTCAATTTGCACAATGTCATGCTCAAAACGAGTTTTTGGTTCAGAGCTTTCACTCTCCTTGATTCTATAAAAAACAAATGAGCTGTCACTGTATTCAGCCTTCGATTTCTCGACCACTTTTATGTGGACAGGATTCCCTTTTATATCGTCATGATGTTTCATCCTTACAACCTGTACCCAATGGTCAACGTTGCTTGAAGAAGCAGCCACAGTCGCGTCAAACACACTGTGGGATTCCGGAAGGTTGTCGACGATTTGGGAGGTCAGGTTGTGTTTCCCGCTAAAAACCGATCGAGCTTCGCATTTGCGGCTTCTAGGCGTTCCCTGCTGGATACCATTTAGAAGACGGGGGACAGAAGAAATTTCTTTTCTTGAGTTTTTCGTTGAGACAGACCGCTTTGTAGACTGTTTTTCCTCCTTTGGTCGATGTGAGTCAGCTGTTTCCGAGCTCACTTGAGTCTACTTTACACCAATTTGCGTGTTGACAGAACGAGTACTGCCCGATGCGTTCAAATCACGCTTTCCAAAACACTTTTTTGCTGCATTTACAAATGAGATCGCCTCGGTTAGCGAGCCGTTTACATCCGAACAGCACTGTTTACAGAGCCATACGCAACCGTTTTTACTGAACCGTTTAAAAGCCGCAGGCGTTAAGTTCGTGCAAACTTCGTGGTACCAGCCTTTGCACTCATCGCACTGCATGCTGCTTTCAATGGGATGACGACAGCCTGGATGTTGGCATTTACTTTTTTTGCACTGTCCAGTCATCAAACAGGAGTCTTTTTAAAAAAAAGTAGATGCAATAATACTCAGAAGCAAAAATGATTTATGTCCAAAAAAGTGGAAAACTGTAGATTGTTAGAACCGAAATTACTAATAGATACAATAGAAAAAAATACTTAAAAGTACCGACGACAAACTACTTTAGAAAGCGAAACGACAATCTGATCGAATACTTTAACTGAAATAAATTCAGTGAAAACAGTAGTCTTGATACGTAATAAACGATCAAAACAATAGAATACACTCAGCGAAGAAAAATACCACTGTCCTTTTATTTAGCACGCGTTAAGTTTTGTAGGCCACAATTAGTCAAATGGTTGCGGAGAAAAAAAATTATGCCTCTACCTTATCAATCTTCGTGTTCAGTCGCCACATATCACTTACATTCTCACTTCATAACCATGTATCCAAAAGCGCGTTCGTAAGAGAATAAATCAGATAATCAAATTATGTCAGACAGACTTTCTAGCTCTATATTGTATCCATATTGACTATAGCGTTAACGTAGCTTGTACTATTAAACTCATGTATCTGTCCTTGTTAGTTGTTCACCATGTATGGCTAGTGAAATTCACTGAGCCCTATCCAGCTCATGCGGCAGTTGAGTCACTGAATGTGGAACATTTCATCGATCCTTGTCAAGGTCGCGGACAACCAACGCGCATCAGTTGATCACTAACCATGGTCTGACCCATGCGGTGGTGGTTGAACTTTCGCTTGTACCCACTCTAACTAATATATTTCTGTAATAAAGCCCTTTGTGTTGTATGGTCTTCCAACCACCTATAGTATCTTCACACGACGAAAAGGTGATACACGTTAGGTGATGACTGCGAGATGTGACTTCGAAATTAGCTGTTGGTCACACTATTCCCACCTAACTCGAGTAGGCTTCCAATTATTTGACATAGATCATCTACGTTGATGAAATACAACCATTACCTCAATATGATTTCTATGAAGGCCAGAATTTTGAATGTCTGTCAGATACAACTTAACTGAATATATGCAGTTTGTGTACAGTCCGTCCTAAATAAAGTCTGGTTCGACCTTTACTTTTCCGACTTCATCTAAATGTCACATTTCACACTCCTCGTTTCCTTATTATTTGCCTACTGTTTGTGTAAATTATGAAGTGTACGATTCAAAACATACTTCTAATTTCACACTCATTTTTAACGTTTTATCAATGTGGTAATTCGACAGAGTATATGAGGAATTTAAAAGCACCCATAATTCGTTCGTATCGTTCAAAATAGTCTCCATAAGAACGTTACTTTAATCAACACACCAAACCAAAACTCGTTCGTCCAGTTTCCGCAGCCCAGAGGAGAATTACTGTTTCGTCCAATGTTTGGCTTTCAATGGATGTAGACCAACGTCCAGTCAGTATTTGCGGTTACTCCGTAAATGTTATATACTTTATTAGGCTGTTATCTCGTAGCATTTACATTCTTCTTCAAATTATCGTCCATGACTTATTGAACGTGTTCTCTATGTGAGGATCAGAGCTTGTAAGTTGATGGAGGGTGAGAAAATGAAACAGTGCCACGAGCACGATATCCAACACGAATTTCTAATGCTCCATTTATCTAACGGAAGGTCACTCATCCACCTCTTGAGTCACCCCTACGTCAAAAAAGAACCCACTTCAAAGAAAGAAATAAGTAAAACCGGTCAAAACTCAAGAATCCCTCCACTTTTTGTACTAAATAGTCCGATACATAAGGAAATATACAACCATAAGTGGTAAATCTTCGGTTCCTCATAAGTGTCTGACTTCTAGAACGGACTGGTAATCTGGAAGACAGTAGACATATTGGGCACGAAAATGCAGTAAAACGGAGGGTTATTTTTCCAAGAAAAAAACACGTGCAAACCTGTCAGAATTCGGATTCATCACCGAACTCGGCCAAACACATGACTGTAAGTTTTCGATGGCCGCCTTTTGTAATCTAGCTTGTAACCGCGGGTATACAGAAAGTGTCCGCTGACTAGGAACGTTGAAAAGCGCCAAAAATACTAAGAGTCAAAACGTGGTAGGTTTCTTAGGGTCACCGACATAAATGTAGTCTTAGAGATTAATGTTT